ACGGGAGACATTTTTGTTATCATTTTATAATTGTATTGTACATAGACACGGGAGAGCCAGAAAGACCCTTCACCTTGGCATCTCATGGAAGTGCTGCTGCAGAGTCACAGCTGGGAAAGGTGATGGGGGCCTACCAGGGAAGGGCTCCAACAGCACAGAGACCACAGAGGTACAGCAACCTGGTCTCTGCAGTGCACACTGGTCACCAAGGGCTAGTTCTTTTTCCCCTGCGGAGAACAGAACCTAAGAAACCTGAAGGACACGCCCAAGGAAGATACTGGAACACCTCAGTGTGGAATAATGGAAAACAGGGGGCTGGATTTTAAGTGGACTGTGGTGGTTCAAAGCAGCTTGTGTTTACAAACACAACTGCGTTGTAAGTTTATGTCATAAATACACATAAATACATTTAGTGTTATAGCAGCTCACATTTCCCTAACACAAGGGTACAGGATTTAGAGCACTAGTAGCGAAAGCCAAAACTATTGAACTTCTGCTAAAATGTAATGTGGTTTTCTAAAGAAAGGAAACTCTTTTTTTTTTCATTTATATGTCTGTATATTCCTAAATTATTTGCAATGAACTGTAGAAAGGAGGAAACGATCATAAGCCCCTAACAAACCTACCACTATCACTGAGGCAGTTCCACAGCTTGGCTCTGAGCCTCTGCTCAGAAGCTCTTGCTCCTCTTTTTCAGAGCTCCTGAGGAAGATGAGCAGCGGAGGGCACGGGCATCCTTCCATCTGCTCCCACTCCAGAGAAGAGGTACATCCAAAGTGTTGCAATTCTGCAATCCTTTTCTCCTTCTGGGGTAGTTTCTATGGTAAGACTTACAGTGTAAAAGATATCACTGAAGTCACAGTAGTAAGAGGAGCAGCTTCAACAGGAAGGAGGAGAAACAGAAGTAGGTTATTGAGTCAGACAGGTTTTCCAAGCCTGGCAGATGGTGAGAACAAGAAGCAAAAGTCGTGTTCACAGTTAAAGCTAATGAAATTCTACAAGCCTCCTGGGAAACTCAGAAACACGGGCATGAAGTGCAGAACTGCTTCTTGGTTTTGTTTCTTTTTTTAATACTTTGTTTATTTGCTAAAATGCGCGTGAATGGAGTGTAGGGACTGAACTTCCTCAGGTGCTGCTAGATACATCCCATTTTTGGCTCACAGCCCTGTATCCATGTCTGCAGTCTCAGTAACCACCTACAGGGCTGTATCTTCAGGCAGGGAGGTAAGGAAAGAGAGCAGGTGACTGCCTTGGTGCCTGAGAGCGCATTTAACACGGAGAGGCAGCCCTGAAGAGCACGTGCTGCCTACAGGAGTGGCGCTGTATGGCACCTGCCACCAGAGTCAGGCACAAGAAGTTCCTTCCCTTCTTCTCTCCTGGGTACCCTGTCTGTTCTAAACAGTTGCATCAGCATTACCAAAGGAGGCAGCAACTCCTCAGGCCAGTGGTCCCTCCACCAAGCTGGGCCCTCGCTAAGAATCCCACAATGGTTTGGGCTGGAAGGGACCCTAAAGACCATCCAGTTCCAATCCCCCTGCCATGGGAAGGGACACTTTCCACTAGACCAAGTTGCTCCATCCAACCTGGCCTTGAACACCCCCAGGGATGGGGCAGCCACACTTTCTCTGGGCAACCTGTGCCAGGGCCTCACCACCCTCACAGGGTAGAATTTCTTCCTAATATCTAATGTAAACTTACCCTCTGCCAGTTTAAAGCCATTGCAGGATTTACTGGAGCAGGTTTTACGAAATTGAGCTTTTCCATCTTTCCTCCAGTTTCTGCACACGTTAAGGTCGACAGATCCAGAATCCACGTGGGCATTTACATACCCAGCAACTACATTATGTGTGTGCTCAAATCTCCTGAGTTCTCAGGAAGTCTCCACATACACAGGAAGGACAGGCAAATGGTTAGCTCTACATTCCCAAAGAGAAATCTCCGCTATCAGCATGTTCAAAGCTCTATTTTCAGTTTTCCCATTTCTTTTTTCATAGCTTGCCACCATGCTGCCTCACAGCCTGCAATGTGCTCGTGGGATTTGCTTCTGCAGGCAGGTGACTCTTACTCTGTTCTCCATCTCTTACCTGCAAGCAGCCTGAGCATCCCAACTTGGACGAGTTCCATCTGCCCCAATTTGTTTTTAGATAAATACTAATAAGGATGCAAGAAGCATCTCTTTCTATCTTCCTCGTAGGTATCCACAGCTCTCCACTAACAAGATAAGGCCAAACAACAGCCACTTACATCTTTATGTGGTAAAACAAGCTTCTGTATTTAAGATAAACTTTACAGGACAGGTGGTTTCCTAGACGGGAATATCCACAAGAAAACATTTAACTACCGTACATAAACGTCAACAAGGTATGAGAAGAGTGCACCTAATAAAGGAGATAGAGGCCACAATAAAAAGGGGCCCTAAATCAAAGAGCAGCTTCACACCAGCAAACATTCACACATAACCGGGCTGACTGAAAGCTTGTCCAGACTGTGCTGCTCAGCCTTCAGCATTGCTGGCAACCCAGCAGCTCCTCTGGTCTGCCTTTTCATGTGTGTGCCCGGAGGTTTGACCCACGCCATCACCTTGCTTGGGGTTATGGCCGGGGCTGCATCCACAAGACTGCCCGTGCAGTATCTATATTGGGAGCTCGGTGTGTACTTCTACCTTTATCGGCTCTCAAAAATAGAAAAAGAAAAAAAAAAAAAGAAAAAAAAGAAAAAAAAAAAAAAAAAAAAAAAAAAAAAAAAAAAAAAAAAAAAAAAAAAAAAAAAAGGGGGGGGGAAACGCAGAGCAAACATTATCTATTGTTAATTACCTGTAAAGTAGGGCTTTTGCCACTTCCCCAGTTTCTAAGAGCTCTGAAGTGAAACCTGAAAGAAGCCACCCATTGTTTCCAATTGTGCAAGAGCCAGGAGCAAATAGGGCTCAAATTGCAGCTCTGAAAGGCAGCAGGAAATTGGCAGCCCGGTAATCTGCTCCCCACCATTCAGGGGAACAAAGGCGACATTCCTCCTCAAGTAGTCACCATTAGAAACCCAAGGTTGATCTATTTAGTAAGGCCCACAGAATAAATCTGTGGAAATAAAGAGTTTTAATTAGAAGGCCATAGGATATGGCTCTAGTTTCCAGCCCTGCAAGCAACATGTATTATTTAGGCTCCTGCCTCGTTTCCCACATATCCAAACGCTGACACCCAGAGACCAGCATCACTGCCATTTTCAAATATTATTAAAAAAAAAAAAAAAAAAAAAAGACCCCAAAAAATAACAAATGTGGAAACTATTCATTACAGATGGATCACACCGTGAAGTGTGCTGTCCCAAGACCATTTCAAATTGGTCCCTGTGTTAGGGTTATGTATTTTCCCCCTAGAGTATTAACAATCCTTCTAAGCCATCACACCCCCCACCCATCTACGGCATATTAAAATGTACAACTTTGAAATAATCTTCAGAAAGTGCTACAGTTTCAGGCAGGAAGAGGTTTTCCTGTCTATCCATCCATCCATCCATTTCTCTGTACAGAAGAATGACTCAGTAATTAAACCACTGCTGGTCAAAGGCTCCTGGTTGTGTCAGTGCCTCCCAAGGTGGCTCCTCGCAGCCCTCCGTCCTCACTTTTCCCAGCAGCCAAAGGGGTGGCATTTCCCTCAGAGCTGTTTTGCCAGGCGCAGTTGATTTCAAAGAACTTAAATCCAAGTGCAGAACGCTTTCGGCTACCTGCTAAGGAGGTACTGCAATTTTTGCCACCTGAGCAGATAAAGTCCTCCCAAACCCGGTGTGTTAGAGCTGTCAGCAGGAAGAGCAAATCAGGTTAACTTTTCCAGGGGGATGTTATCTGCACCTGGCAGCAGTGATGGATGAATCTGGAGCTACCATGGCAAGCGCTCCTGCTGCAGTACAGGGCAAGGGATGGAAAGGGAGGAAGAAAGGGCACAGGCTCTAAAGCTCCAGGTTTGAAAGCCCATACAAAAATGTCTGTGGAGGCTCCAGAAGGGTGTCTTATGTGTCTACCACTTGGTCCCAGAGAGATCCTTTTGTCTATTTAACACAGCAGAATTGATGGGTTTTCAACTATAACAGTATTTCCTCACAACCCCTTGCGTATCAGTAAATTCAAGCCCAGGTAGGGCCAAACTTTGGCAAAGTTCCTACCTAGAGGTGAACTTTGGACCGAAACAACATTGTGAGATCCAACTATAACGTATTTCCCACCCTGACTAACCAGGCTGATCCTCACCATGATCAGGACAAGATACAGAAGATGTAGAAACGTATTGAATCACGAAGCGCCTCAGTGACAGCACAGATGCTCACGTAGTCATAAGCACATTTCATCTAGAAGAACTTGGCATGATGTGCAGAAAAGTGAAACAAGAGCACAATTATTCTCTCAAAGAGAAAAGGGATAAATGAGACTAGATTTAGATAAGGAGACCTTGATATAAAAAGAAGGTACAGTGCAATCTCCCAGTATCCAGCTTAGAGAAAAGCTCCAGCACTTCCCCCTTCCTTCAAGGCAAGTAGTTTATTAGTTTTCATTTGGAAGTGTCCTACTCATAAAATGCGTGGATTGAAAGGCAACAAATTAAACATCACCCAAGAAACGCTGTTTTGGAGAGGACCTTTACCAGGTCATGCAAATTCATCTCTTCCTCCTGTTTGAACTGTGGAAGGCAAATCCTTGCAGCACTGGGAGAACTGTCACGTGATTCGGACGTTGAAGCATATAAAACCCCAGGAGTTTCACTTAAAATATCCATTAAATAGTTAATCAGTTATATTTCAGCAAATGCTTTGGGTATTCCAGCTACTTCTCACAGTCACTTTATCCTACAAACTGAGCACATCCTAACAGTTCGGAGCCTCCACATTCCTCCTAAGGCAGCGTAAGGGCTCTGTCGCCTGGCCAACTCAATCACTGGTGTAAATCCATCAACTCCATTCAGAAGAAATATTCCACGGAATAAACCCAGTCAGACTAGGGCAGCGACCCCGAGGGGTCAGGCAGGATGTCCCATTGTGCTCCTTCTTGCACAAACACAATGGGGTTCAGCCCCTTGGGGCAGAGCCTCTGTCAGACGTTTGTGCCTCCGGACAACGTGTTCTGGAGGATGTTTGTTTTCAGGTCGCAGCACTGTAAGTGTATACAAAGGTTTACAAAACAGGGCGTGCTTCCAATGCCAGAGGCACGGCTATCGGGCACACCTTTCCCTAAGGACTAACCAAACGTATGTTTCCTTGCTTCAAAAAAGAAAAGAGAGCAATTCACGCACTTTCAAGCTAGTTTTGGAATTACTTCCCCTGGAATTAATTGTTTCTCTTCTTTTTTTAATACTCTCACATGCATGTATCAGGAATACTGAAAGATGCAGGTAGCTTCTAGTCCTTCTTCGATGCTAAAATCAAAAGTTATTAGGAAAGATTAGGGTTTCATCCCCATATGCTTAAACCTAAGAAGTAAGACTGTGTGACATCTGCAGGAAACCTGTCCTGAATTTGTATTTATCAATAAGTAAATAAGACCCTCGCCTCAAAGAGACCTTCACCGGGAGGAGTGTGAATGGCAGCTGCAAGCACCACACCGGGAAAACCAACAGCACTGCATCTCTTGATCACAAATACAAACCAAGCTGTAAAAATCACTCTGGAGATTACAAGTTTTTTGAATAGATCTTTCCATTAAGCATAGAGCTTGTTAACACGGGCTCCAAATGGCTGCTTAACCAGCCTTGGCTCCTCCCATTGGCCAGAGGAAGGTCAAACAGCCACAGCAAGGAAGTGCAGATGATGAAGATCTGCCCTAACAGCAACTTGCCCACCAAATGAAGGCTCATCAGAACCATCAGAACCCTGTGCAACCCATTTGCTGCGTCAGGCTGGTAAATCCAGCTGTGTGACAGCAGAACAACATTTTATTCCGGGTTTTTTGAAGCACCACCACAACTGACACAAATGCTGCAGCTGGAAGAAAGCCAACAATTAATCAGGATTCCTCAGAATTTGAAGGTAATTTTAGCAGAACAAGAAAATGCAGAAGTATCAGTGGGTCCTGAACATTCCTCCAGGACAAAAATCTATTACTTCATATAAGTCCATTAAAACACTTCACCTAGCCCCTTTAATCCCTCTTAACAGATTTGCTTTATCACAGACAGAGGAGCTAATCCTCTCCCACCTGTCTTTATGATATGGGACCATAAACAAGAGCAAGTCCTTTTCATTTGTTAAGCATTATCCCCCCTCGGATAACGCTATCACCCACCCCAGAATTAGTGTAATGAAGCCGTCTTTAGAAAAACACCCCAACCCTGAGCTCAGATTCTCACCCCAGCCACAGATTCCTCCAGCAGGAAATGCGGAAACATTATTTACCAACTGGTTTTATTGATAAATTATTATTTCCAAAACTCATCCCTTACCCTGAGTTTCAAGACACTACGCAAAGCAAGACTTGGAATTCTGGCTTGCTGAAAGGACTTCCCTTTTTCCCTCAGTCCAGACCTTATGTGACACATCTGAGGCCTCTGCTGTGTATAACCAGATGGCAGCCTTGGCCAAATTCATCACCAACCCTTAAAATCAAGTTAGTAGGTCAGCTGAACTTATCACCTAATTACACCATCATTTTATAGCGAGTTCTCTTTATTTTTCAAAACAAGATCTCCACCCTATCAGAAAACAGTCAAGAAGTAACTTTTATGACCTGTATTGTAACAGTGACAGTCTGGCACTCTACAGACCTGCCGGAGTAACCTTGAACAGCCCACTGGCAAATTTTGGGTCGAAGGACTGAAATTTGCACTTCGGCCTCCTAATTGCCAGAAATCCCACTGGCCCCCAGCACATCCCCTTACGACACGACACAGCACCCTTGGAAGGCCATTCCAGTTGCTACACTGCGGAAACTAGAACAGGCTACAGTGACTGACCCCTTATAACCACATATTTAAAGTAACTTTTGTCTCTTCAAGCTGTGGAGAGTTACTTCATCCATCTGTCAGCCTGCTCGATTCTTCTTCCGCTAGAAAGACATTCATGTGCTCTCAGGCGACCCTGCATGGCTCTACACCACAAAATCCATCTGCCCGAAAGAATTCCCAGTCATTTCCATAACACAAGGCAACAACCAGAGGACCTGGAATTGAACTCAAATACACATGTATATTAAGTACAAATGATAAATCATCTAACACAAGAAAAAAAAGCCAAACTCATTATACTCATTGTTTCACTGCCTTGTCTAGGTAATACCTAGACAAGGAAACCATTTAAGACATCCAGAGAACTGTTATCTTCTCATTGCTGCATAGGTCAAGCCAAATTTGCCTCCCAAGGAACTGCAACCTGAAGTTATTCCCAAAGTCTAGTTAGAAAAGGGAGCATTAGTGGGACTAACTACAGCTTAGGTTTTGTTGATTTGTTTAAAAAGAAATCTAAAACAATGCTGTGACATAGCTTGTGATGGAAGATAATAATTAAGAGATGAAGTACATGTGGGCCCTTCGGGTTTTCTTCTGCTAGGAACCAAACCAAAACCTCATCTCTCACCATGAGTTTCAAGACACTAAGCAAAGCAAGATTTGAATTCTGGCTTGCTAAAGGGACTTCCCTTCACCCAAACCCCCAGATAAGTCACCTGGCTGAAAAGAGAGACAGAGGCATGCAGTGTAACATTTTTCTTGAAGACGCACAACTGTCACCCTTCAAGCAAACTTACTCAACACGGAGCTGGACCCCATCCAGCTATGAAGAGGCAGTTGGCTGGGTGTTTTTGGGTGTCAGTGCAGTTACAAACGGACAGATCTGACCAGCGGCGACTGCAGGACAAGGACTTCATTGTCTCCCAAGGCCTGTTCGCAGCTGTCGCTGTTACAGACGCAGCGGTGACGGCACAGCAGTGCAAAGCCAGTCGCCTGCTCCTCATAAAACATTCTTCTCTTGGCTTTGCTTCATCTCAGGAAGAGGGAATCTTGGAAAGCAGAATTCCTATACGTCCGCCGCTGCCCCACAAGCCTCTTGTTTGTCACAGGGAGGCTGGGTGAGCAGCAGTACCAAACGCACACTGCAAAGCAAGGGCTCTCCTAGGTGCAGCCACGTGATCATTTCACTTCGTACCTCCCAGAGGTCGTCTGTGCCATTCGATAAAAATGCAGCTTTTCAGTCAGCTCTTTTACATGACATTGAGTCAGCTTTGACGGAATTAACTAAAAGGGACGAGCTTATTCAAATCATCAGCGTGCTGGGAGTCAGGACAGCTTGAATATGGCAATTCAGAGCAGCAGGACTCAAAAAAAAAAAAGGCAAGATATGGCACATTTGTCAAGTCATTACTGCCTTCCAAAGTGGAGTTTCTCTAGAACCACTTACTCTGAACCCACCATGTGAAATTACATCATTTAATAAAACTTTTAAGTTCAGGAGAACTGCAGTGTAACCTTGACCCACACAAGGAGAAGAATGAGGTCTCCCCATTCAGTCCTAATGAAAAGCCTTTTCTGTTGAATGTGTGTTAAATAGCCACAAGTAGCTGTGACACTTAGGTCACCCTTAAGAGCCTTTAATTTGAAGACAGAAGATAGTTTCAGTTGACGTTGGAAAATGCATGGGAAAAGAACCAAATAAGCCACAGACATAGGCCCAAACACACACATTCCCAAATTTCAAAGCTAGCAAAACTGCAGCAACACAACCCGCTATTTTTATCCCACCTCTTGATATTTATTTAGATTTGAGCTTGGGGGGGTTAATTTCTTCAGTTGCTGCACAATTTAACCAGCCAGGAAGTTTGATGTAGGAAAACTTAAAATGGTTTTACATGTTAATGTGATATTCCTTAAGGAAAAAAAAAAAAAACAACAACCAAACAAAAACAACAAACCCACCAACTTGGAAGTTGTGGTTTCCTCCTCCACAACTGTATTTTTCCAAACGCTTTGATAAATAAATAGAGCCTCCACTTTTTGGCACTGGTAAGCATAACATATATTCATTTGTATTAAATATCCCACAGCAAAAACTTATTTGATATATAGTCGGTGAACTCAAAATTAGGTAAACTAAACTAGAGCACAGACTAGTGGTTTTGAAGTATCAATAGGAGGTTATTTGCCACCTGACAGACCTCAAGGAGAAACTCCACACACAGCTCACAACCTGTCGTTGTAACAAAAGAACTCAAGAGCCATTTTCATTAATTAATATATTTTCTGCATTATAGTTAACATATGTACTTTCTCCGTGTCATCCTTAATTCGTTAAGTATTGATATTTTGTTATATTCAGACATGAGTACATTTTCAAAGTCTTTTGCAATAAATATCATAAAATAATAGAGATTCACATAATAAATATTCTTTACAATAAAAAAAGTTTTAACAGACTTTTGTCTTAAAAATAGTTGGGATTCAACTTTGTGTTTTATACATAAAATATACAAAAAAGGACCACAATTTGTGGCTAAGGCAATAAAACAGGGACAGAATAAAATTATAAAGTACGGAGCAGAGCTAAAGTCACTAAACCAAA